TATAGAATCAAACATCTTTCTTATGAACCTGTTTTTTTTAAAAAGAAAATAATAATTTTTAAGAATTTTTTAAGAATGACAAAAATATATCATTCTTAAAAAAATATATTTTTTTTTATGTTTTAAATATCTTACTTTTAAAGACAAAAAAATTGCAATAATGATTTTTCTTTATTTACAAAAAAAAAATTACTTTAAAAAAAATTTAACAAATAAGGCGTCCAAAAAAGTAATTATTTTTGACATTTTCCCAGAAATCATCTTTGTCACCTATAGCATCGATAGCTTCAAGAACATAATTAAATTTAGTACGATGACTATCGCTGATAAAATATTCGCTTTGCTTTTTTAAATATAACAAAAATGCTTACATCTGTTGTCGATCCACTTGACAAGCATTAAACGTCTGATTTTCATAACGCTCAATTTGATCAGGCGTTTAAAAATCACTTTCATTAAAATGATTTTGCATGCTCGGTGATTTTTTCCAACATTCGAGAATCAAGGTAAAATAGTGCACTTTAAGTAATTTAATAACAAGAGGAACCTTGTTGAATCTAGTAGCAAAAATATCGATTGCATCTTCAGAGATAAAAAAATCAATCAACTGATCTATGTGACAGTCCCATTTTGTGTACCGTTTAATTAATTTTGAAATAAAATTATAAACGGAATTGTACAAAAAATATTCATCATTATTCATCATATTGTAACGAAATTTATGACAAAACTCGATGCGTTCTATAAATTCATCTTCTGTCATTGTTTCCATATTCTCTTCATACAACCTGATAAACCTCTCTCCATTTGTTTTCCATCATTACATTGTGATCTGAAAAAAAATATTATATGATACAATAAATAATAAATAAACATTACGTTGTGATCTGAAAAAAGAATAAACTGCTTTACCTCTCCATGAATCGAATAATTTCTGATTTTTTCGATAAACTACCAAACTTTGTCCAGAATTTCTTTTTCTTTTAACGCCTTGATAAACATTTTTTTAAAAATGATCTTTTAAAATTACTATGACTTCTTGCAATTTATTCAATGTCAAAAGTAACTCGATATTTATATTTTTAATGTAAAAAATTGTAACAAATAGTTTTTTAATGTAATAAAAATGTTTTTAAGTTATAAGAAAAAAAATCATTATTTTCATAACCTATTTTTTTTAAAAAAAAATAAAAAATACAATTTTTTTTAGTTAAACTACTGATAAACTTTTTTTTTTTAGTTAAAAATACAATTAGATAAAAAAAGATAAAAAATTAATATGTATAGTCTTTTATTGACTGCGGAAAAAAATAATCATCACTTTCAGTTCCGACCATTGACGCTATTTTTTGTTCATTAACACTATTTTTCGCTTTTAAAAAGCTCACAATACTGTTCCGACCTATTTGTTCAAATTTTGAAATCACCATTTTGAAATCACCATTTTCAATAACATAATTTATAAATTCAAAACCATCTTGAATAGTTTCTTTTTTTCCAAGTGGTACTCGTAACATATATAACAACTTCTTGACGTTGTCTTTAGTCAAATGTTCACCGACTGCTAGCCAATCATCTTGAGTTAATCTATTCATTTTTTATTTAATAATATAAAGTTGCATTTAGACGTTTTTTTGGTTTAAGTCTGTTTACCTGATTCCCACAGCAAAAAAAAGAACATTAAAATACAATAATCTAAACCCTACTCCTGATCTATAAGAAGGCTCAAACTTTAAGCTGAAATGTTATATGACTCTAAACGAAACGTTTTAGCTGAACAGAAAGAACAAGTGAAAAATAACAAGCGGATAAAGAAGTTTAAAAAAATTATAATTCATAAAAAATTTAGCAAAATTTGTATTATTAAATCTGTAACTTATAAAAAACTTTAAGTTAATATAAAGAAAAAATATTATTATTTATGTTTAATGCAACATTCATTAAAAGCATTAAAAATTAGAGTTGTATTATATATCACTTATTGTTAGTTTAAAAGTTATTTCCAACTTGAATAAATAAGTCCATCATTTAACGAATAAGATTAAAAAAATATTAGTTTAAAAAAGCATTTTTTAAATTAGAAAATCCATCATTTAACAAATAAGATTAAAAAAATATTAGTTTAAAAAAGCATTTTTTAAATTAGAAAAAAAAGAAAGACATTTTTATTAAAAAAAAACAAGGTTTCCTGATTTTGTATTTTAAAGCGAAACAAAAAAAAAAACATTTTTAAAGATAGCGATAAAAGGTAATAAATAGATATAAAAGTTAATAGATATAAAGACGTTTGTTTGGTATTTGGTTTTATGAGCTAAATATGTTAATCTTTTTATTCTTGTTTGTAGAGATGCAAAATGTTATTCTCAACGAGCTTGCAGAAATAAAAAGTTTAGAAATAAAACTATATACTCCCACGTCATTTTCCATATTATTTTTTAGTAATAAACATCATTATTGTATTTTTTCTTCACTGATTTCTTTTTTAAATTCCACACATTTTTTTAGAAATTTCCATTGATCGAACATATTGCACTGGAGATTTAAATATTGATTTTACAAGACGATATCCGTCCGCTTCTGACCGATAAAATATGACCACTGACACAAATCCAACTAAAATTTGATCATTTGATCAGAAACAATTTGATCCTCGACGCTTTCATCCGAATAACGTTTCGATGTCTATAAAGTTTTCTTGTAATAAACATCATTATTGCAAAGAAAGTAAAAATCAAATAAGTTTCATTCTAAGTTCCTTTTACAACCTTTAGATGGAGTATAGGAGTATACATATAAAAGTTAATAGCAATTAAAAACGAGAATGGTTAGATTGCGGTGAAAGTGACTATAATCGTCGTATATTGATAAATATTAGACATGTAAAATTGATAAATAGTTCTTTTATTAGGCAGTTTTTTATTAAGAAACATTTTCCAAATGTGTTGCAAATTAAATGAGAATTTAATTTAAGAAAGTTAATAGCAATAAAAAACGATATTAGATAACGATAGCGATAGTTTCTTTTTAAAATATACCATAACATTTGCTTAGTGAAAGTATAGGAGTAGATTGGAGAACTCTAGATCTTTTTTTATTAAAGACATTTATGTATGGATTCGTTGTTCAAACATGAAAAAAGTTATTGAAAATAATCGAAAAAAAGTTTTTTTCACTTACAATTTTTTTATATCAGTCTTTAAAATATCCGAGGCATTTTTGCATAAGTCGATGTTTGCTTTTTAAATTTAAAATTCTAACCCTGTTTAAAAATTTCTCACACGCTGAAGTTCGGTCATTAATATAAGCATCTTGTAGTAATTGTATCGTGTGAAAAACATCATTTTTCCATTTAACAAATCGATTATGTAAACATTATAGTTGTTCATTTGCACTGGAATATCGCATCTGCAATAAATAATGTTTTAACAGAGCATACATTTTCGCTTCATCATTGTAATGTGTTTTCCTTATGTCATACTTTATGTTTACAGGTAACGTTAAGAAATCTGCAAATTCTTTCCAGCAAACCGACAAATGTTTCACTAGTTTATAAACTACACCTTTTAGTTCGATATTGTTATTACTAAGCGTTGCCATTACTCTGGTTTTTTAATAAAAAAAGCTCGTCTTTTTATACCCTTTATTTATTTACATCACAAACAAAGCGTGCAAATAAAAAACTGACTTAAAAAACATCATATGATATTTTTTTTGCTTTACCTTCAAAAACGTATTAAAGGTTACGCAAATAATCTGACTTGAAAAAACATCATATGATATTTTTTTTTGCTTCATCCTCAAAACGTATTAAAGGTTATGCAAATAAAAAAACACACTCAAATAACATCTTATGATAAAGCGCTATTAATCTAGCAAATAAAAACTATTTACGAAAAAAATATAAAAATATTTTTAAGTGTAATATTACATCAAATAGCGCTTTCTTCAAAGAAACTTTATTATCATATGATTTTTTTAAAACCTTCCCACGATGTTATAAAACTGCTTTATTTATTTAATAACTAAAAAATCCAGTTTTTAATCAAACCTTATAAAAAAAAGTCTATTGTAATTTTTTTTTAAAAAAAAGAATAATAATATGGACGCAGAGACGAAAAAGAAAAATTTATCAAATTTAGAGAAAGATAAAGAAAAATTATTAAAAATACAAATTAAATTCGCAAAAACAATTCAAGAAGAAGCTACCAACCTTTTGATTAATTTTCGTTGCGATTTTGAATCTTACTAGTTCATTACGTAAGTGTTTTTTTATTTACCATAAAACAAATTATTTACTTGTATAGTTATTTTATTTGTTTAAATTTTTCTAGTACTGAACGAAATCCATATAATATAATTAGTCGACTTTCTGAAAACACAAGCGCGCTATTACAAATCAATAAACTTTTGACTAAACTTAAAAATAACCAAATTCAAATCATAGTGTTTAAAAAAAGACAACAACAACTAAGAAAAGCGTCATGGGCACATAAATAATAACGATAATAACGATCCGATGCATGCACGGTGATTTAAGCCTGATATTTTATTGTGAGCATGCGCACATTTGTTTTTTTTTTTTAATTACGGAAAAAAATGGCGAAGTAGTTTTTATCTAAATAACTAAAATTCGTTGATTTAGTATTTTATTAAACAATTACTTATTCCTCGTGTAAAAACCTGAACTATATATTTTTAAAGTCTTATATTCTAGAAGGTTTTAAGTAAATCATAAAAATAAATAAGAATCTTTGTAAACAAAGAAAATTTTAATGAGCAAAATGTAAGGTTTTTTAGATAAAAAAAATAAAATATCTGTTAGCTAACTAGAGGGATATCTTTTGTTTGAAAATATTTTGACTAAAAAGTTCAATTGTTTTAAATTCTATAAATCATGCCTAAAAATTCTATGCCTTTCGTTTTAACCTGTCATTTTTTTAAAAAAAGTTAACTGCATTTAACGGCAGGCTGGTAACATTTTTTGCGTAGTTTTTTTTAGCTTTTTAATGGAAGAATTTTCTACTCTGAAAGCCTTACATAAAGTTCAAGTTAACCTTAAACTTACAATGCGTGCACGTTTTAAATCAAGAATATTATAATGTGTTTACCAGAACACTCTGATACTCAGAACAAAGTTGAATGTGTGTATATGTATGTGTATATATATATATATATATTATATACACACATAAAAATCAAAAAAATTTTTTCTTTTTAATTTCTGGCTTCATTGCTTTAGCTTTTGGATGGTTTCTTACATAATGTTCTTTCACCATGCTTTTCAAGCGGCTACAACCTTTCATATGACAAAACAAACGATTAAGATTGTTAAATTCAGCATGCAAACTTTCTCCGCCTTGTTCTCCATAAACTCCAATGCCTAATCCCCATTTTTGAATAAATTGAAGAACATGTGTTTCAAGCAAATGCATCTTTGGAGTTACAGATGCATTTGGCCAAGTTGATCTATAAAATTCCATAAGATTACAGATTGCTGATTCTAAAATTAAATAGTTTACATGTTTAAAAAAAAAGCCTAATTGAATTTCTTTAAATAAATTCCTCAAATTCTAACTAAAAAAAGCAACCAATTAATGTTTTTCAAAATAACTATTATGGCATTAAAGAATATGCTAACTTCAACTACAGTTTGCGTAAAACGATTTTAAATACCTACCAAGTTCCTGAACATCATTTTCTTGAAATGATTGTGAGCTGTTCATCAAGTTATGACATTTGGAATAATATTGAAACAACTGTTTAAATTTTTGGCTCACATTAACTGAGAGTAAATGAACGTCTGTATCAATAAAACCAAGATTTGAAATCAGTTTTGGAATAGAGTTGCACAAATCTAGCAAAGGTTGAGGCTAAATTAAATATAAGTAAAATTAAATAATTTTGAAATATTTTTATTAACAAAACGCAGGGTTGGCCGATGTGTTCAAAGCAGTCTGAACAAAAAATTAAAAAAAAAAAAAGATTTTATCTGATCGATATAACCAACCCACCAGGTTAGGATATTTAATATAAAACATCTGTAAAAAAACCTTAAGCATTTGTGTGAACATGGTTTCCAACAAAGCATTTCCCATGATAAGCCTGTTTTTGTACCTGATTAGCCTTTAAAATTTCATCAAGTTGCTGAATGCAGGGACCTGAAATTTTATCAAAAATGTTTGCTTCATTTAATGAATTTAGTTCTTTCATCTAGAAAAATATTTTTCTTGTTAAATATATGCTACAGAAACTGTAGGTAATTGTATTGTAAATTTTTGAAATTGATATATTTTTGGCTTTCTAAAATTATGTTAAATATAATTCTAACTAAAGTCTAAATTAAATTTATATTTTTTTTGTAAATAATAAATACCTTATCAGTTTTTTTTAAATCATAGTAAAGTATTCTTGGTGCATATACTTTCCTTATTTCTTCTGTTCTGTCTGGTTCACATAAAACTTTTAATGAAATTGTGTCTTGTAAAGTGTAATTTTATTATCACAGTCCTCAATAACACTTTTTATAAGATTTGATTGAATATGCATATTAATGTATTTGTCAAAATCATCTTTACCAATTGTATTATTTTATAGTGCAAGCTCTCCAGCAAGTTTGATATCTAACAAGTGACATTCATCTTCAAACATGTTAAAAAACTTTAAATAGGTTCCTAAAGATATATGTAAAGCAGGTACTGCTACCTAAAAATAAAATTAAACACTATTAAAAACACTTAAAGCCATACAAATCCTCAAAATAAAACTAAAATACAGTGCTAAAACTAAATTACCTGGTCTAGAGGAATGTGAAACAAAGTTTCATTAATCACATTATTGAAAAACTTAGCCTTTTTCAAATTTCCTCCACCACTTTGGAATCGATTAAAATCAATGTTTAAAGATTTTAGAGATCGTTGTGAAACACCATTCTCTCTACTAATTGGAGCCAACTGGATACTTTCTTTGGTTATATCACAAAAAAGACAGCAATGTCGACCTATAATACCATAAGTAACAGTATTGAATGGAGTTAAACAATTATATCTTTAAAACTTTAATTTTTCAATCTTACAAAAGTTTTTACTTATGATAACTAAAAAAAAATTATCATCAAATAACATAAAATTTCTTTAAGTACAGCAAACCTACCACTCGCTCCTGTGATTCCATATACACTGCAAAGGAAATCATAATCTCCAAATATAAAAACACGAACATTATGATTTCTAAAAACAATTAAAATATATTAAATTAACACAAAATATTTGAATTTTATTTAAATTATCAATGCTTATTTCTTTAGAAATAGTAACTTACTGCCATATCATTTTTTGTATCTCATCAACTTGTAATGTATATCGAGATAACCCTACTTTAAGATTAGTTCGGTAGTCTCTTGCTTCAAATGTACTGAATACAATACTATTTGATTTTGAGTTTGGTTGGTCTTGGTTTACAATTTGGTAACTCATTTTAAATGAACCACCTCCATGGTCTCCTCCAATTTTTATGTGTATTTCATCATTTTTTATTCCATCATGTTTTATTAACTTAAAACTAATAAATTTAAATAAAATAAAAATATAACATAAAAAAATACAGCTTAAATAGTTTTTTACAATAGTTTATATTTAGATTTTTAAGTAACAAATTTGTACAAATATCCATACCTTTCAAGAATATCTAACAGGTTTTTAATATTAGTGGGTAGATTGTCTATGTATGCCCAGGGAGCATGTTTGATTTCAAAAACTGACTTATTATTTTCATTTTGAAATGTAAAATCTCCATTTAATACAACAAGATCATTTCCTGCCCAGGTATTTGCAACTACTCTTTGTTTAAAGTTTGAAGCAGTCTTAATATTTCTTGAGTTTAACCATCTACAATATTTAGTAAATAACACTTATTCATTTTTTTCACTAAATTATTTTTCATACTGCTTACTTATATATGCATTATTATGTAAATTAATAAAAGCATGCATTTTTAAATATACACCTACATTCACTTAAATAATAAATCAATTAACATTAATCTCTAAATAATTAACACTAATAAATAAACTAACCAATAAATATTTAAAAAAATAATTTTACCTAGTCATAGTTTTTAATTTATTCCACGGTACCCCTACATTTGCTTTAAAAGCAACCAATTCTTCAGCAGAAAACTCAACAACTCCAATCTTAGCACTTTCTAAAACTTTATTTTTTTGATTGTGATCAAATGATTTAAGCATAACTGATGTTTGCACTACTAGTGAATCTTTTGAATTTCCAACTTGATGATTAGCTTGGTCCACTAGGTGTTTGTGTCTTTTTCTCAAGGTATGACCACTGCAAGATGCACTTTCCTTGTAGGCTTTGGGCATAACAGTTAAGCAAAGGGGCTTTAAAATAAAAATATATATCAATACATAAACCTAATATCAGCAATCTTTATCATTATGAATATTCAAAATTCCAGACAAGAAATTTTATAGTTTAAGTTTTATATTAATGTACTTTACAAATATTATTACTCTTACTCTTGGGCCACCAGATAAAAATTCAATTGTAGTTGTTTTTGAATTCTCCATTTTTTGTTTAATTACATGCAACACTGCATCTTCAATATTACGTGGAATATGACTTGACTTATCAACTTTAAATAAATCATCAACTATTGTGCTGGAATTATTTAATAAATGATCTTTTTTGCACTCATGATTTTCATACTTGTCTTTAATAAAGTTTTTTTCGCAAATCTTGCATGCAATATACAAATGTTCAATCATCTCCAATACATGAACAGAACTACAAAGGCTATTAATCATAATGCAGGTTAAACAAACAGGACATCTTGCTTCATTTTCTAGCTTACCTTTAATAATTGATATAATACATTGACTACAAAACGAGTGCTGACAATCTTTGATCATGACTGGTTGATGCATTATCCTCCCACAAACTTTACAAATACATAATGTTATATGTGGGTTTAGCTGAATATTGAATTCAGAAATTTCTTTTTTGTTTAAAGGTAAGGGCAAGGATTCAAGAAACAAGTTTATATTTAGTTGTGTCCATCTTTTAAAAACTCCTGGCCGTCCAACATTTGGAGATGGTTTTCGACCAACCTTACCATAAATACACATACACTCCTTTGTTGGACATTTTAACCAAATTTTTGGTTTAATCTTAGATAGTTTATTTCCTCGTGTTTCAATATTCTTCATAGTTGAATAACATTTTAGGCACATTTGTGGTGGATGAACCTCTACACAATCTTCTTTAGTATTTATTTTAAAAACATTAAATATTCTTTCAGTCCTACTGGCAGTTGTTAGAGAGTCTTTTTCTGTTAAATTTCCACAAATTCTGCAACCTCTTAATAACTTTTGTTGATGTTTTTCAGTCATCTTCTAAATAAAATTATTGAAAAGTTTTTAGCTAAATAATGAAATAACATATTATAAAAAAATGACAGGTTATAGAAGTCAATATTTTTTGAATATCAATGAATAATACTTTTATTAAAAACTAATCCACATGTCATAAAAATTTTGCTTCGTCCATAATTGAAATGTATATAAAGTGTTATTTTAAACAATATTACTCTTTTCTGTTTTAACTATTGTAGTAAATGTTCAAACATAAATTTCACTCAGATTTTTTGCACAAAACAGCTCAAGTATATAAAATACTATTACATTTGTCTAATTATTAAAAACCTCATAAAAATTGGATTTAAAATGGAAACAATGTTGTAAGGTATTTATTTGTTTTTAACACGATAAATACAAATTTTAATATTGAATATTTTTATCAGACGCATGCGTATAATAAAATCTCAAGCTTGTATAAGTACTGAATCACCGTGCATGAACCATTTTGTATAAAACAAGAAAGAATATCAGAAGACTCGAGCAAACAAGAAGAATTGTCAGATGACGATTTAAATTTTAAAAAAATAATTTGTATGCTTGTTTTATTATTTATAAAAAATAATTTTTTTGTTACAAATTTTTATAATAAGCTTGTCTTTCTTCGTATGACATTTGTGAAATATCAGTAGGCAACGTTTTTATTAGCGTTTCTTGCGTTTTTACAGGCGTTTCTTTCTTTTTTCCTTTAATTTTATTATAAAGCGAATTAGCTAAAGTGCCTAAAACGTCAGCATTTTGAATTGCAAATTTTCTAATAATTTTTGCATTGTCCACTGTTATTAAAGAAGCCAATCCTTTACCTCGTTTTACCTTTTTTCGAGTTTTTCGTTTGGTTTTTTTGTAATGCGTATTTCTTTTTTGTCTTTTTTACATCTAAATGTATAAAATAAAAAATTAATTTAATTTTTTTTAGATAAATAAAAAAATGGATTTTAGTAAAGTCGATTTTACAAATGATTTAGTTTGCTTGACAATGGGGATGTTGCAGTCACTATTTGATTACGATTTAAAATTACAGAAATTAGACCCTGATAATTGGCAAATCGATGTTTTCAGATTTATTATGAATAGACTGGAAAACACTTTTTTAAAATATTTTGAGCTTTTACGAACTGATCAAAAAAAGCAATAATAGAAACTAAAATATTAAAACATTGTTTCGATGTTTTTGTTTTGTAAATATTATTATTTTGTAAAATTATTAATTATAAAAAGTTCTTTTTTTAAAAGAAAAACAATATCATATTAACAACTTTTTTTTTTTTTTAAACACTTGATGATAGACCTTACTATTCCTGCTTGTCAAAAGCGTTCCAGCCGTTCCAAAACGTATTTTTCCGTTTCGGCGACCGATGGGAATGCTTAAAACGCACCACGTGACTATCACCTGACTTGACGAACCAATGAGATTGTATCAGAAAGGCAAAAAAAGTGTGTACTGCGCAAGCTTAGTGCGTCAAAGCTGTGTTAAAAATAAAAAAAATAATCCTTTTATTTAAACAAAATTTAAATCTTTTTATCTTTTTATTTAAATAAAGTTAATACGCGTAACGCATTAAATAAAAAGAGAAAAAAAAAATATTTTTTTAATATTATCATACGAAATTAAAAATAATAAAGTCTTCAAAAAAAAAAAAAAAATTAATATTTTTATAGTTAAAAAAAAAAATCGACAATGAATAATCGACAATGTAACAACAAACCTGTAATTATATATATATTTTTTTCTATTATATTTTTTTTATACTATTTATACTGTATTATATTATATTCATTTTGTTTTTTAAATTGTAGAACCTTATAACCCACGCGAGGACATAAGTGAGGAAGAACGACAACGAGAACAACAAATACACCAAGAACAAGAAATTCAGCGAAGAATTCGGAATTTGTTTCAACCGATTGCCCCGCCACCAGAAGACGATGAAGATGATGAGGATGATGATGATGATGTTGAAAATGTTGAAATTGATGAAGAAAATGTTAAAAGAAATAATTATGAATTAAATTTACCTGTAGTTTGTAATAACTTAATATTTATTTATTTTGTTTTATTTGTTTTTTATTTAGTTATTTTATATTGTATAGCAAAATTATGATTAATATTTTTTTTTTGTAGTACCATCAATCGAATCGGCCTGCATAGGTTGTTGCCTATGCTTTCCTCCGTTGAGACCGCGAAGACCTTGTTGTTCTCGTCGTTGTGGTCTTCAATGAGCTTGCGTAGGTTGTTGTATTTGCACATTCAACACGATGCAAGCGGTTCGAGCTGCGATGATGGAAAAGATAGAAACAAAAAGAAGAATATGGTTAAACCAGGCGAAGGAATATCAAGATTGATATTTTTTTTTGTATAAATAATTTTGTAAATATTTTTTTATGTATTTTTTTTTTTAATATTGTATATAGTATATTTTGTTATTATTTTTTTGTAATAAATTGAAAAAAAAAAAACATTTTTTATTTAAAATACAAAATGAGTTTAACAAAGTTACAAAGTTATAATAAAAATATAGATTCTTTAATTGAATACGGTGAACAATTAAAAAAGCGTATAGAAAAGAAATCGTACAATTGTTCTTTATTAGATAGCATTCGCAAAGATAAAAAAGGATTAAATGTTGATAATATAAAAAAAGATTATTCATATGATTCGGTGGAAGAAAAAGAGTTTATTATTAAAAATGGCTTATTTTTAAAAGAAGTTTATTTTTTAATGAACAATTTAGCGTGTAGATATGTTGAAGATCCAGAAGATATATATCCAGAAGATAGCAAAATACTAGAAACACTTTTTTGGGAATCGATACAAGTTTTACAAAACTTGTATTGTTATTTTATTATTATAAACTATTTTGAACAAAAAGAATACGTTTGCGTTAAATTAATTAAGGAAATGATAAAGAAATTAGCATATCTTCGTTTTATAGAACAGTCTCCGCTTTATTTAAATAAAGATAAAAAACATTGTTATGATAAAATAAAAAATGTCATTTTTTATGCGGCAAAATATTTATTGTAAATAAAAAAAAAACACAAATATAAAATTTTTTATTAATATTTTCCTTGCGTTGGTATCTTCCCAGCAAGGAAAAATACGTATATTATACATATAAAATACGTCTTTGTCCTACTCTTCGATACGTATATTCTAATTCTTAAATGCAAATCTATAATACGTATTAATTAGATGATTACAATGCGTTGGTAATAGACGTATAATATACGTATTTAAAATACGTCTCAGATATCTATAATTTAAGTATTAAATGCAAATCTATAATTCGTATTAATTAGATAAATAAAATGCGTTGATAATAGACGTATATAAGACGTATTTAAAATTATTAGGTTTCTATAATTTCTGTATTAAATGCAAATCTGTTTATTTATAGATGTCAAATCTGTAATACATGTTCGCAAAATGAAGAGTAGATTGATGTATTATCTACCGTTGTATAATTATTGCGGAAATAGATTAATTTCTATCTTCGCAGCCATTGTTTTACCACAAAAATTGTGTTGTACAACCGACGTTAATTTGTGCAACTATGCTAGACAACGTTTCCATTATAAAACAAAGTTGTTACAGAACTGTTGTACAACATTTCTACAACTATTGGAAACCAAGCTTAAAAGAACATTAAAACATTTTGAATTGTATAATATTATTGTTTATTTATTTAAAAAAAGTAACTATATACTTTAACATAAACTATATACATATAATATAATATAAATGTTAGATATCAATGGAATGGTTCAATCTTCCTGGTGCATTCTTTAGTTTATTCCCGACAACTCTAAATAATTCTTTTTCACTAACGGTATACCTGTCTTGTAACGCTTCTAAAATAAGTTAAGCAAAAATATTTAAAATTAAAAATATCGTCAGCTTAATATATATATATAGTTGAATACGACACTTAAGTGTCGCATTTATCATTTTTGAAAAAAATGACTATGTACAATATAAATTGTATCTCACCAAACATAACGTCCTTTAACTTAAGGTTTTCAAACGATATTTTGTTTTCTCTGCCTTTACGTTTACTCCCTTTAATGTTCATATTCGCCATCAGGTTTACGGAAAATAATCTAAAATCGAAAAAATATTAAAGGTAAGATCTGAAGGTGAGATCTGAATGTTGTTAAATTCATTCTTGTTTACCGCTTATTTTGACTGTTATTGTATAAAAAAATGTAATTTAAAAAAAAGCTGCAACAAATTGTTTTAAAACAAATCAATCAGAACGCATAAAAAGTAAGTAGTGATTTTTTGGAAAACAAAAAGTGAAAACGCTATATTTTTCTTTGGATTTTACCTCAATACACTGAGTTTCTAAATTAAAATCGTTATTGTTTCGCAGTGGAAGCTATTAAAGTTCCACCACTTATATGGAACCATCAGGCCGTAATAGTCTTAAGAGAAGCAAGAAATATTTTATATAAGTGCAAGGAAGTGCAAGATAAATTATAATATTTGGACAGATGTCCAGAATTAAGAGTTGTTGTTTAAAAGAAGGGTACTATTCAGTAATTAAGGTTGAGTTAAGTAAGTGGTGGTCATGTTAGATTTAAGTACGTGTTGTTGCAGTGTTCTGTAAGTTATTGTGTTTTGTGTTTGTATTGTTCTAAACGTTAAAGTTTTATGTGTCATTTAGTGTTTTTATTGCTTTGAATCTGTGTGTTCGTAAATAATGGTTCTTAGTCTCGCTCAGTCCAGTCTTATCATGTTCTCTTTACATATCAGGTTCGCAACTAGAATAAGTGAGTATAGTCACTAGTGGAACATATTTAGACGTAAATGCCTTAGACGCATGCAAACGTGCAAAAATACCTTAAAAGCATGCAACCTTATAATAAAAATATTCGTTTTAAATTTAGTTTATATACTCAAAGATTGACAAACACAATAATTCTGTTTATTTACATGCAACCCGAATACCTTCAGCCACAGATAAAAACAAAAGAGCATCTAAGTAAACCTATCTGAATTTATCAGATAAATATTCAAAAACATTTAACAAAAATCAAAACAATTATTAACAATTGCTATCGTTGTGGTAAGCATAATATGATACACAATTAACCTAATATAACATAATTACTCAATTCTTTAGATAAAAAGTACAACTTTAAAGCACAAGTATTACAACAAACAACAAAAACAAACATTTAATATAAAGTGGAAACGCGCGCATGATTGTTTAAAGAAAGAAAATAAAAATACATCAGCGTTAAAATAAAATTCAAAATTATGTAGTATAATACCAGATTCTCGTCAGGAAGTGGACATTGTATTGATCCTTATAAAGATAATACTCTGGTATTTGACGTTTCGAATGTTTTAATGCTCATTTCTAGAAACTCCCGTCGGGGTAACATCCTCAAAACAAGCAAATAAAACCCACCTCTACGTCTGCGTCAAAAGCCTTCTTATGTTGCAACATTTGAGAGGACATACTACTGCTCAGCCAAATACCCTAACTTGATCCATTTTAAACAAATTACGCTGATATACTTTTTAGAAAATTATTAAAACACGTTGCGCAAGAAGTAACATTAGAATACAAAAAACTAATAAGTTAAACTATTCCTAAATACTCAAGTACAAATTGAAGGCAAACAAACACACAACAAAATAAAAAACAATTAAGATAAAGGACTTACCATAATTTGATATTAAATAAGAATAAGTCTTGAAGGATATTTTGCGCAATGCCAATGAGCAGTTTATAGAGCGCATGTAAATTGTGATATTATACACAGATGTTGTATGACGTAAATTTGCGGTTAATCAAAATATCCCTCAAGCGAAGCCTCAGTAAATAATAACGCTATTGGTCAAAAAATATTTTAATTGATTGGAGGATGAAAGTGTAAGGTGATTGGTTAATAATGTTGTGTTTAGAGAACATAAAAAATATATAAAATATAAAAAATAGAGAACATTCAAAAGTGTCCTAAATTATTAAGATAATAAATTTTAACTCAATCAGTTAGGGAAAAGAGTATCGCAGGATCAAAGACATACAATGCAATAAAAGCTCTAATTTGTGTCTTAGATCCACAATGCAAGACAAAATATATTTAAGCGAGTTTTTAAGGTCAATAAATCTAATTGAAAAAAGTGCAATTTGTGTCTTAGATCCACAATGCAAGACAAAATATATTAAAGCGAGTTTTTAAGGTCAATAAATCTAAGTGAAAAAACTGCTAGGTTTCAGTTTAAATTTAAATGAACTTGTCTTTAGCGGCTTAAACTAACATTTATTTGTCAAATTGATATTAGCAACCGACAACAAACGGAACAATGGTAAACTCATACAAAAGCCCTGCCTCACCGCGTACACTTGTCCAGGTATGCAAGGTGACAACAACAAAAGCGATTCCCCGCATCAGCCTACGCTGTCGGATTCGTGGTACATCGCTAAGATTAACCAGTGCATCCTCAAGACGCAAACCTATCGGAACAAAGCCCCATTGCTAACCCCCTTATAACGGAACACGATCACACGACAAAAAACGCAATACACTTTATCATTACCCACTACGCATATAGACCCTTGTTCAGGTATGCAGAGCGACAACAACGAAAGCGATTCCCCGCATCAGTCTACGCTGTTGGATTCGTGGTACATCGCTAAGATTAACCAGTGCATCCTCAAGACGCAAACCTATCGGAACAAAGCCCTATTGCTGACCCCCTCATAACGGAACACGATCACACGAGCAGCGACACAAAACGCAATACATTTTATCATCACTCACTGCGCGCATAGACCCTTTTTCAGGTATGTAAAGCGACAACAACGAAAGCGATTCCCCGCATCAGTCTACGCTGTTGGATTCGTGGTACATCGCTAAGATTAGTTAACCATATTATGGTCCATAATTATGGACCATAATATGGTTAACTAAATCAAAATTACAATAGTAATTTTATTTTAAAATGATATTAAAAAAGTTAACTGGAGAATAGAGTAACAACCAAGAACGTAAAGATGTACAAAAAGCTGTCTATAAATCGAGTCAATAAATAAGAAGCAATAGCTGAATAACAACATTTTTTTTTTACAATTAGTATTTATCTTTATTCAAATATATTCGACTAAAGGTCGTCTTCAAAAGACGTTCAGAATACACATTTTTTTCGCATGCCTTTGTGGTCTCAAATAAAAACTTCAAAAAAAAGTATTTAAAACATTTTTTAATGATGACTTTAGTCTTTTAAAGACGTTTTAAACACGTATTATATTTGTTTGCGAAAGATATCTTTCATATATAGAAATAATACGTATTTAATACGTCTCTTAAAGATAAGTTTTATATTCAGCTAAAACTCATCTTGAAAATTCGTTTTTTATGCGTACTTTTATCGTCTACTCTAGAAAAGATGTGAATAATATTAAAATAATACGTATTGAATACGTCTTGTCCTTGCTGGGTTTGCGTCGGTTTCTTTGCATGCTTCTTCATAACTAGGCGGAGCTTCATTCAAAATCCTTTCTGCAGGTGGTATTATACTTTTATAAAAACAAGCGTATTTTTCATCGTAATGCAAGTCTTGATATTTTGCATATAAATCCTTTCTACCGATTAAATTTAAACTATACTTAAAATAACCCAATTTCTCTTCCATAGTAGTATATTCATCTCAATCAATTTTAAGAGAATACATTCTTATATAGTTTATTAAATCTAAGGCGTTGTTTATTTTTTCTGCACATCCATAAGGAATTGCCAAACAATATTTTAACGATCTAACATTAGCATAGACTAATTTGTTTGATAACAAAATTAAATCTTCCATTTTTTTTAATTATCTAAAAAAAATAAAAAATGTTTATAGCTAATATAACAAATTTTATTTAAGTCAAAATAATTATTTATGAAATATTAAAAAAAAAAATAAAAAAAAAAACAATTAAAATTCAATTTGTTTTATTAATATAAAAAAAAAATTACATCAAGTAAAATAAACTTGAATATAAAGTTTGTCATTGATTATATAATTTTTGAGTTGATCATGCTTGATAAAATTATCATAACCACACGTAATGTTCGCTTCATAAATGGGTCTGTCAAAACTTTCGATATGGCGCGTTGTTGGAAAGCTTAGCATCATTTCATGATGGTTATTTTTGATGAAAAAATGAACATTTTTCTTCATCGGCCATATCAACATGTGATCATGTTATGATTTTAAAATCTGAACATAAATTGCTAATGTTTCTGGTTTTTGATAACCAAATATTTTGACTCGAAAACAATAACCGTCTTCGGTAAAACAAGGTTTGCTATAATACGGTTCATTCGATTGCAATCGTAGTGTCATGTTATCTAAACAAATAAAAAGTTTCTTTCGCGTAGGTACATCATAAAGTTGATCGCATAAAAATTCATTTTTTTTTTGTTCTAATTCGTACTTAAACAATTTAACAATGCTTCTCAGTTTATCTTTGTAGCTAGAAAAAAGCGCATCAGGTTGTTTACATACCATTTGTAAAATACCCAATTTTGTTTCCAAATTTTCAATTCTTTTATCCGTCTTTGATCCTTCTTTTATTGTTAAATTGAGTGCTTTGTTTACATAGTTCATACTTTCTTGAATCAGTTGAAAATTTTTCATTTTTCTATCAATTTAATTCTCTATTTTCTTTATATCCTCTTCTAACTTTGTCATCTTTTGAGTAGAACACGTTGCATAATGCTCATTAAAAAGGACCTTTGTACCAAAAGATTCGTTGCACAAAGCACATTTTCGATGAGGATGTGGACCACCACAATCACATTCAGAAAAAAATTCTTCCATTTCGTTATCATTAATCATAATAAAATTTTTATTTTTTTTTCTTTCTTCTTCTTGAAAAAACGTTTGACTGCAATGCACTTGATGCTTTAATAGTTCATGTATTGTGAAATCCATATCACAAAAACAGCAGGTTTGCAAATTGTTTGCCATTTTTTTTTAATTTTTAATCTAAAAATAAAAAATAATATAATTAGAACAGCATATTAGAAAAAAACATATTAGAAAAAAATGTATTAGATTAATTAAAAAAAAAACAAAAAAACACAGCATTTATAATCTACTTTTTATTTTTATTTTTACACAGTTACAATAATAATTACAATTCCCTCTACATATTTGTACAACTTCAACTCGTTTTACTTTTTGTTTTTTCATTCGTCTAGTTCTTTTTTTCCTTTTCACATTGTATTCTGATTCTGATTCTGAATTGCTTCTATTAATCGTTATGTCTTCATCTTCTAATTGAGGTGGTGACATTTTTTTTTTTTTTTAACTTTTATAAATTGGCTAGAAAGAAGTATAAAAGGTGGTAAAAACAAATTACTTTCAACAAATTCACATTGATTTATCATCCAATGTAAAAGATTAGAATAAATAAAAAAAAATGGTTTTAATTCTGTTAAGTGAATGGTGGGGCTATAAAATCTTGTATCAATTAACACATCTAAAAGTATATTAATCGTAGCTAATAAATCCTGTTGCAGTTTTATATAATAAGTATTTTTATTTTCTATAAATGATTCAAAACAATGACAATAAAAATAATCAAAACGTCTAACAAAGATTTCTTGTAAATATACATTACTAAAAAATGGTGCAATATTTTGAATTGTTTCATTAGCCATATCCAATGTTTTTGTAATTGCTAAATTTCTTTTAACTATTTCAAATAAAGTTGGTATTTTAATTAATAGTTTTTGATGAAGGTTGTTCACTTTTTTTCGTTGTTTGAATAAACTTTTTATATCAGGAATGATCATGTTATATTCTTTATAAAATTCTAAATGTCGTTGTAAATGCCATGTATATTCCATGTAACTATCCAATTTTTTTTATTAATAGCCTAAAAAATAAGTTTAAAAAATTGTCAAATAAATTATATATCATTTTAATTAAAAAAATGAAACAAAGAAAAATAAAAAAACAACAATTTTTTTATAAAAAAAAATATTTTAATTAAATAAAAATTACAAAAGAAAATTAAAATAACCTTCTAAAAATTTAGAAAAATGCTCAATTAGCAAATCCGCATCTTCTAAAATAATCTCCTTTTTTTCCAATCTATGTACGAACCATAATATGTCCCTAAATATGTCTCTATTATTTTTTTCAAAATAAAGTTTTAAAGTATTTAAGGTTCTGATTGCGTGAAATCAGTTTTCACACACATTTAAAGTAGAACAGTTTCTCACTTTGCTTATATCTTCTTCCGTTAAACATAACGCCATCGCTAAATGATCCCAGTTTACTAAATGGCTTCCAAATAAACACCATTGCTTTATTCGAGACTGGGAATACTTTTCTAGCATTTTTCTATCTGCTTCTACATTTTTTTCAAATAATCCTTCGATTTCTGCATTCATTTTTTAATTATTTTTGGCTAAAAAAAAGTTAAAAATGTTAAATATGAAAATAATAATTCAAAAAAAAAAAAAAATTAAAAAAATATATCAAAAAATAGAAAAGAAGTAAATATTTGTGAAAAAACTTTTTATTTTATTTAAAATTTTTTACAAAATTCATTTAAATGATAAACAAAATATTCTTTATCAATAACACTCTCATAATAATTAGAAAAATCTGCAAATGTTCGTGTTCTGTTTTCCTTTAAAACTTGCTCTTCTTTTTCTTTAAAAAATTTTTAATTTTTCAACTAATAAATTATGTCCCTCAGGATGCATTTAAAAAAAAATTCTTACAAGTCGATACATTTTTTCTTGAATTTTGTTTTCTTCTTGATCAATAATGCCAATCTTATTTTGTAAATCCAAATGTTCTGCAATTTCTTTCCAATATTCATTCAAATAATGTGACAAATAAAATTTCATTTCTTTTTCTATATCCATTTT